TGGGGGACATGAGGCCGAAGTCACAGATGATACAGAGAAAACCAGCGGGGAAATTAGTAACGTATCACTGACAGCACACATAGATGACAGAGCCTGGGAACGTGCCAGGACTCTGAATCACCGGGATTTGTGCAACCTCAGTCCTGGCAGCGCTGGGTGCTCCCTGCCACGTTGGCCGGGTGCGGTGAGGCAGCCTTTTCCCCGGCGCGGTCGGCGCTGGGGAGCACGCACGGAGCAGCCTGCTGTGACTGTAGGCAGCTGCCTGGGGTCCAAGCGGTGGCTGGGTGTCCTCGGCACTGTGGGGAGCGGGGCAAAGTGGCCTGGATCTAGCCAGATGTTCACATCTTCCGTGGGCTCCTGCAGTCCAGCACAACTGTTTAAAAGCCTCGCCCAAGCTTGGCTGATTTAAATCACTTCAGGCTATTTAATCATCACATAAGCACACGTAGCTTAAAGACTAGTTTATAGACTTAACGTTGGTTAGAGTAACTTGGTGCGTTGTATAAGGAGCTGGTTATGCCATGATAAACTGTCAATGGAGACGAAGACCCAGGGAGCAAGGCCTTCAGCACAAGGGAGCTCAAGCCTTGCATGAAGCACCAGTTTAGGAGGCAAGAAGAGCCTGCAGGGAACTCCCTGCAGTCTGGCACTCTCCTGCCTTCACACATTTCTACTGCATGCAAATCCTCCTCCAGGAAATTTAGTGTTAGCTCCGGTGCTAAATGCTCTGGAAGAAAGCATCTTTAGTGCAGATTATTGCTGGAGAGATTAACACCCCTCTGATGTGTAAAGCAGCGCAGAGGTCACAGGCCAGCTCATGTGAAGGACGCGTCCCTCCCATCACACCAGCCTCCAGGTTCTTCCTAGGGGCTGGGCAATTTTTCTCTGTTCCCTTGGCAGCTTTTCAGACCCTCTCCTGTGAGGGCTTCTGGTCCTGTTTGCCACTGCAGTTATGCTCAGCCTGGGTCAGAGGGAGACGAGAGGAGAAATCCCACTCCCCAGGCTCAGATCACCTTCAGCCACGGCTTAAACACGTCAGCTTGAACCCACCTAAGAGCTTGCCACTGCCAAACATGAAGGTCTCATTCCTGTCCTTTCTCCTGCAGCTCCAGGCCACCACCCCCTGTCCTCCCCTCTGTCTTAGCCCTCACGCTGGCTGATTCAGCGTTGACTTCGCAGAAGCCTGTTCCCTTTTCTTGCTCGGTTATTTTAGTGCCAGATGAGTAGTTTGGGTGTGCGGAGGCTGTGCAGCCCCAAAGCTGATGCACAGGAGAGTGACAGCAGGGTGGTGGAGGATGGTCCCAGGATGAAGGATGCTCACTACGGATGCGAATGCTGCATTAGAGTTGATTCCCAGGTCATATGGGACCAGAGAAGCAGCAGAGATGGTCCTTTGGTACTACAAGGATAACTGGGGTGAAAGGCCTGAGACTGGGACAACTGGGCAGAGGCATTGGCGGGTTGCTGGGACAGCAGCTGGAGAATGACCACCACGGCACGGTGACAGCTGGGAGATGCTGTGGGAGCACTGGGGTTGCACCAGGCCTTGCTTGCGAGATACTTGCTGGCTGAGTACCGGTGGGATACTGGGATGCCCAGTGCCACGCCTGTGGGATAAGCCTGGTTAGAGGTAGCACAGGGCTGGATGTGTAGGCACCATGTTCCTGCTTTCAGCCCAGTTCTTTCTACTTGCACCTCTGGGAACCTCCTCTTCAAGCTCTGAAGTGCCTATCGAGCAAGTTGTCCTTGAAAATGAGCCGGGCCACAGTCCGAGAAGCTCTAGATGCGGCCCTGTCTAGAGGTAATGCTGTAATAAATGCAAGCTTTCTGGCAGCAATGAGAGGGCAATTAAGGAACCCTTAATTTCTAAGGGTCCTTACAAACACGTCACTAATCTGCAGCCGGAAACCTGGGAAAATTCAGTCAAACCAGCCTGGGTGCTCAAGGGACTATCCTGCCCTGCAGACCTTTCCCCACCATCCTGCCTCTGCTCTCCTTCCACCACCACCATGCCCCAGCCATCCTTCCCCTGCCTCCTTTCCCAGCTATCCTTCCCCACTTGTGAACAAAGAAACTTCACAAAACACTTCTCCACTGAAAGGAAGAGAGGCAAGGGAAACAGGAAAGCAGATAATATAACAACAAACAACCGCTCCTTCCAAAGTACACAGAGAAATGTTCAACTCTCCCTTTCTCTTTGCTTTTCCGGGGCCCGCTGGGAAGGCTGGCTGCTGCCTCCGTCCCGCAGCCTCCCGCTGTGTTCAGTTCACTGGTCTTAACCTCAGGCCGTGCATCTCTCCCAGGCAGCAGATGCCCATTCGCCCATCCATCCATCCATCCATCCACCCATCTATCCATCCATCCACCCCATCAGCCACCACTCATCATAAGCTAGTCAGTGATGTCCTTAGCAGGACGCCCATATTGTCCTCTCTCAGAAGAAGACTTCTTAAACAAAGTAAAAACCCAAGGGCAGCCTATTTTTTTATGCATAATTTGTGGTAGTGGTTGTGTTGAGCTAAGGTCTCAAGGTCACGGAGTGAGAGGCATTTGACCCAGGAACAGGAGTGCTTGTGGACCTCCCGTTCCCATCACCAGGTTCACCTTGCGCTGAAGCAGGAGTGGAGAAGGAGAGGCTCATGAGCGGCAGCGTGGGGAGGTGCACGTCTGGCCGCATCGCCTGATGCGTGACGTGGTGCCAAGCAAGGGACGAGCTGTTCCCCTGCTCATTATTGTTACCAGATGAGTGGGGGACTTTTACGATCCTTGGTTTTGGATAATTAAATGCTGATTGCAACCGAGGAAGGAGGGCTGGACTCCTCGTCCCTCCTGTGCCCCACGCTAGGCAGGGAGGGGTACGGTCACAGCCCCCTGCCCTCTCCCCCAAGGCTTTGTTCCAGGGGTGACGTGCAGCATCCCGGACGTGACTGTGGATCCCACCCCCCTGCGATGCCCTGCTCCATCTGGGGTTATTGTGCGATGCCCAGAACAATATGTTGTGGTTAGGGATGACTGGGAGAGCGCCGGGGGGCTCCCCGCTCCCCCTCTCTCTGCTAGTGCTGGGGGCCAGGCAGCTTTCAGCCGTCTGGCAGCTGTGGGTTCGGTGGAGGTCCCACAGCAAGGGAGAAGAAGCAGTCACCAGTCCTGTTCCTAGACAGGAGGGCCAGCGCTTGGCACCGACTCAGCCGCAGATGCACTGCGTGTCTTGGGCACGGGATGCCCTTGGGCACTGTAGGATCACAGGATAGCTCGTGTGGGAAGGGACTGCAGGAGGTCTCCAGCCCAACCTCCTGCTCATGCGGGGCCAGCTCTGGAGTCAGACCAGGTTGCTCAGGGCTCGGAAACCTCTGAGGTCAGAGGCAGCACAGCCTCTCTGGGCGTCCTGTATCAGTGCTGAACTGTCCTCGTAGCAGGAACATTTTTCCTCCTATCCAGTCTGAACCTCCCTTGTTTCAGCTTATGCCCAGAGTCTGTTGTCCTCACCTCATGCACCACTGTGCAGAGCCTGCCTTCATCCTGTTCATATCCTCCTTGCAGGTATTGGAGGTCTCTATCCAATCCCCACCAAAGTTCCCTTTTCTTCTTCCTCCCCTCCCAAGGCCATGTGCTCCAGTGCCCTGGCCATCTTGGTGGCCCTTCACTGGACTCACTCTCATGTGTCCCTGTCTCTCTTGTATTGGGGGCTGAAAGCTGGATGCAATATCCAGATGTGGTGTCAGCAGGACTGAGCAGAGGGAAAGGATCCCCTCCCTCGACCTGCTGGCCACACTCTGCCTAGTGCAGCCCAAGGGGCTCTTGGCCTTATTTACTGCAATGATGCATTGCTGGCTCATGGTCAGCCTGGTGTCCACCAAGACCCCTAGTCCTTTTCCACAGAGCTGCTCCTCTGCCAGTCAGCCACAGCCTGTGTTGTAGCATAGGGGTTATTCCTTTCCAGGTGCTGGATTTGGAATTTGTCCTTGATGAAGTTCATAAATATCCTTCAAGTATCAAGTCAAAGAGAGTGATCAGCCAGCAGGTGCCTTGTGGGCTTGCCCTAGTCCCATGTATTTTTGCTTTGAAATGGTTTTGGAAAGTCCCCTCCAGGACCTACCTGCATCTTTGGGGGGTCTAAAATGTCTGGTTTCACTTCTCCACTTATCTAGGATGCTGTGAAGGCTGGAAGCTCAGGCAGTGATGCAATGTAGGCCGGTGAAATGTAGGGCCAAGAACGTAGTGATGCAATGTAGGCCAAGAACAGCAGAACCGTGTTGTACAAGAAAACCTTCTGCACCACCCAGTGCCAAGGGGAGGACTGGCAGGAGCACTGGGGGACATCAGATAGGACTTTTCCTGCCAGTACTTCATTGCAAAGCCCTCAGGAGTTAGGGGCTTCTGTGTCCTCCAGTGGCCACGGAACTGTCAGGAGTGAAGGGAAACTGTGTCCTTTCAGGCTCTGGCTGTGTCCCTCAACACACATCTTGTTTGCGTGGCCCTTTGGAGGAGGCAGGGGGCACATGCTTGTGTGTGGCAAGGAGCAGGGCTCTGGGTGGTCTGGACTTCTCTGTCCCTGCTTGCTGGTTGATTCCCCTTGCTACGCAGGTCCCCCTGGGCTGAGCTGACCCGCAGAGCCAGTTTGGCATGGAGTATGTTTGGCCCAAGATCTGTTAGTCATCTTCCTTTGTCGTGTGCAAGTCCTTTGGCCAACAAATGAGTTGGGAGATGGTCACCACACTTGGCAGAGGCAAGGCAGAATAATGTTCTTCACTGATTACCCAAGGAGTGACAGCATCTTTAAAGGCCATATGAAGTGAGACATGTAGGAAGATACCATTTCTCTTCTGTGGATGAAGACAGACCCCCTTAACTCCTTTGACAAGGAGCTCCCATTCTTCCCCAGCTTACCACAGCAGCGGTGCAGGGTCTCACCCTCACCACAGAAAGGTCCCTTCCCCAGACCAAAGTATTTATTCCCAGGACTTCCCTGCCCCAGGGCTGCTCATTCATCTCTCGCAGACAGAATGGAGCCTGTCATAAGAGCAGATGCAGAGCAGGCAGAGCTCCCCATGAGATCCTTCACCACCAGAGATGATAAACAGATGGGGAAATCTGTTGGGAAATGCATTGACGTAAGAGGTAGGTGAGATGCTGGAGCATTGTCCCCAGGGAGGTGGAAACATGCTGAGAAAGCTGGAATCAGAGGCCGATGCACAATGGCTCTTTGATTCCCGCAGATGGAGAGCTGCTAATGGACCATTTCCTCTCCCAGCCCTCCCTGCGGGTTGGAGATGTCTTGCCCTTGTGTTATCTCTCACTCTGACTTCTCCTCTCTGGGATTTCCTCTAACCCCCTTCAGCAAGCTGCTGGGCTCCAGTCATCCCGGGCTAGCGTCCCTCGTAGCATCCGCCTGTCAGCAGAGATGCTGTGGCCAGAGGCATTGCTCTTCAGGGGAAAACACATGTATGGTGCACGGCCCCATGGAGCCACGGGAGGTCCTGTGCAGCCTGCTGTAGGTGACCCTGCTTCGGCAGGGGGGTTGGACCAGGTGATCCACAGAGGTCCCTTCCAACCCCTACCGTTTTGTGATTCTGTGGGCAGCCTCAGCCTTCCCATCTGGAGGGAGAGGTGGGCTCAGGCACTTCTCCAGGACCTCAGTCTGACCTGACAGCCCTCCTTGGAGGGGTTTTCACACCAGGGCTGCACCCTACTGCATCATCCTTCTGTCAAGGTCAGAGCCATCCACGCAGTTGCCATCCATGCAATTATTTGGGTGTTTTGCATGAGATACCTCTCCCTTTTCCTCTGAATATTAAAGTAGGCCCCCGCTGCAGCCCACCCTCACCCAGCCCAGTGGCCGGCTGCCAGGAGAGCAATGCCTCGGGCCACCGCACCAGGCACGCACAGGACAGGAGCACGCCCGAAAAACTCATCCCTGCAGCACCTGGGCGCTGAGCTGGTCTTTATTATTAAATTTTAATTACTAGGGCTGAATTTTAATAGAGAAAGTGTATAATTACCCTTTATATCCTGGCCCCAAGGCCAGGTTGCTAACATCAAAGAGTCCCTAATGATGAGTTAGGGTTTTTTTATGGTTAATGCAACAAAAATCCTTATTGGATTTGGAAATACAGGAAAAAAGTTGCCCTGGGGGGAAGGGGAGGCAGAGGGCTGCCTGAGATGCAAAGCTGCTGGGAGGCTCCGACAGCCAGACACATATTGCTGTTTATAATATTTAATAATGAGCAACACTACAAAAGTCCTTTCTTTATTCATTTCTCTCCCTAGCACTTCACAGCATGCAATAACTTGGATTTATAAATTAAACATGGTCCTTGTTTTAATATATCATCCACTTCTTATACCACGATCCTATAGTAGGATTTTTAATTGCCTGTCACAGAACCGTGCATCCTCTTCTCAGGCTGGGAGTGCGAGTGTAACCATGGGTTCGTTGGCCCATGTCAGTATTAAATGGTGCATTTAAATCTTCACATTAACGAAAGCGAGGAACACGAGCGGGAACACGGAACAGTCGTCATTAAGGAGAATTGGTTTTTTGTGGCAAAAAAAATGAGGAAAACCAGTCCAAAAATACAAACAGATTTCTTTGTCTTTCTCTCCCCACCCCCTCCCAAAAGAGAAAAATGCAGTGTTTTGATTATTGCTGGGTTTATTTTCAACTGATGCATGTCCAACAGCTTGAACCCAGCTTACAGGCCAAAGGGCTGAGGCAGGGGGCTACAAGACCCAGTCCGAGGGTGGCCACACACCCATGAGCTGGTGCTCAAATTGCACCATCCAGCTCCAGACCCCTGTCCTGCTTCATTCGCTGCAAGAGATGTGGCCGTTTTTCCCTGCTTCTGTGCTTGGCTGTGGTAAAATCTGTGCCACTGGTTGAGTCAGGCCAGTTGAGATGTCCTTGCCAGAGCCTGGGAACCCCAGGCAGGAGAAGGGAGATGGAGAACGGGGCAGTGGGTGTACCCCAAAGCGGGTGTGCGGGGCGCAGAAGGGACAGAAAAAGGCAACTGGATGGTTAATAGGGATGGAGCAGCTGCCTTGTTGGAATTTAATGTGATTTCCTCTTGCAACACTCAAATATCTGCTCTTGGTAGCAGTTGGCTGTGTCCTAGAGCTTTTATCACAGCTTCTCCTTCCTGGCAAAACAAAGTTAAATCCTTCAACCTTCCTACTTTATCACATCTTAATCTTTTTTAATTAATTAACATTTTTCTTTCAAAGTGTACCCTAAATAGGAGACTTGGTCCAACCATCTTGTTATTGCATCCTGGAAAGAAATTTGCTGCTTCTGTTTGTGTTTTCCCAACAGCGGATTTCTCATCCCCCCTCTTTGTGCCTTACCGTGCCTCCTCCGCTTCTGCCGTACCGTACCTGGTAGGAGCTCCCTGGTGGGTACTGTGCATTTGATTTTGCTTCTCTAAGAGCCACAGTTTGTGCTGGTTTTTACTGGGTTTTATCTTGCTCATTTCAGGATTTTCCCCAATTTTTCAACGTCATTTGGGATTCTGATCTTGTCATCCCAGTGCTTGCGGTCCAGCACGACCTGCGTATTCTAGAAATGCATTCCCTGGGTTATCATTCAAGTAAGTAAATGAAAATATTGAATAGAAGCACCTTTACAGCTGATCCAGGAGGACACTGCTCAAAATCTGTCTGGCTGAAAACCACCGGCAGTGACTCCAAGTGTCTTTTATTCAATTGGTCCTAAATTCACTTTCCTGTATTTCCTTAATTTGAGGAATTTGTGAAATGTCAGATGGGACTACTTCAAAACCTTTACCTAAATTGAGGTGCGTTTCAGCTACCCAAGAGGGAACTGGAGCTGAACATTACTCTGGTTTAGGCAATTTATCCTCGACAACATGCACCTCTCTTCTTACCCCCATCTCCTCTCCTTCCTATCAACAATTTGTTCTGGAAGCTTTCCAGCAATTTATTGGTTTAACAATTTGTTCTGGAAGCTTTCCAAGGCTCAAAGATCAGCTCCTGGTGTGTAACTCCCCTCTTTTTAAAGACAGATATTGTGCCTGCCGTTTTCTGCCCCGCGGGACCTTTCCTAGCCCGGAGTGGCTGGGAGGAGCACCACGATTGCTTCCTCCGCTCACCTCCTGCAGCCCCATCCTCTGCCTCTGCCCATTCTGTCTTCTCCATCCCACCTAAACCATCTCCAGCCGGTTTCTTTCTGCTCTGTTCCTTGGTTTGACTAACATGTAATTAAAGTGAATCAGCTGGCGAAAAAGAAAAAGGAGGAACCTTTCTTGTGAACGCAGCACTGGCCTTTTCTGAGTCATCCCTTGGTTACTCTTTTTCCTCTTTCTTTTCCTTCTGACGTATTTATAGATTGTCCCATTGCCTTCCCACCCTTGTTAGCTGAAACTCATGCATCCCTTCCCACATGGTTTTGCAATAGGGGGGTTTGACTGCAAATATGTAACCAGCTCCCACGGTTCCCACCTCCCTCCGCCTCATGATGCTGCCCCTGGGTTTGCAGCAGAACTGCTGGGGTTGGTGGTTGTGTTTTCTGCCTTCCTCCAGCAGGATAAACCACCCTGTGCCCTGTGCCCTGTGCCCCAGGGCTCTCCCTCACCGTGCCGACCCTCCTGCTTCCCCAGGAACTCCCCACGGCTTCCCCATGTGTGTCAAAATCAGACAGTTTGGGTGCGGCATCCCTCTGCCCTTGCTCTTGCATCTCCCTCTTTATGAGAAAAATGAATTCTGCCACTTTGTGATTGCTTTCCCCAAAATCACTCTCCCCTCTGGTTCCCAGCCGGCTCCTTGTGGTCACAGTCCAACCTAGGTAGCTGTTTGTCCATCTGAGATGAAACGTTATCCCCAGCATCCTAGGGGCCTGGTGGACTGTGTCCCTGTCTGTCTAATTTCCAGTTAGAACAGAATCATAGGTTGGAAAAGACCTCTAAGATCATCGAGTCCAACCATTCACCCAACACCACCATTCCTACTCAACCATATCCTGAAGTGCCTCATCTACATGTTTTTTAAACACCTCCAGGGATGGGGACTCCACCACCTCCTTGGGCAGCCTGTTGACCAACTTGTGGTTATTTAGAATGAGATCCTTTGCTTTGACTATTCTTGATAATTGAAAGAACCTCTTCTGCCTCCTGCTCACACCTCCTGCCACGGCCACATCCCAGGCACAGCCGCATGCCCTCCCAGTGCTGCTGCCTTTCCTCTGCTCTCCCCAGACAGCCTCTGCAAGGACGTAAGTGGGTGTCCGTGCTGTGCGTTGGTTGTGCATGATGTCATCATTGTGGCTGTGTCATAAAAATTCTTGTTCGTATTTATTTCCTAGAGTCTTGAGGAGGGGTGTATAGACATAGCAGACAATTGCTGCATTGCCCTTTTCCCTTCGGCAGGTCACCCTTATCCCAGCACTGGAATTTTTCCAAGAAACCTGGATCCTCCCCCATGTCCCATATTTGTGTAGCCCTGCCCAGGGCAAGGGGGTCTCAGCTGTGAAAATTCAGCCACCAAAATCTTTGTCCGCAGCCAGAGCTGGCCCATGCGTCTCGCACCGCTCATCCCAAAGACCAAGCAGGCTGAAGGCTGAGTTTTCTTTGTATGGGGTGAGGACCACGCACCTCCCAGCTTTGATGTCCTGCTGGCATCCAAGCCTCAGCACTGAGCCCTCCTCGTTTCTGTGGCCACCTGGGTAGCCCCAAGCCCCTTCCGAACCCCATGGGCACCAGGGGCTGGGGCTCACAGATTTCATCTGCCACCCAAACCAGCAGGTTATGCCAACCTGCATCACAGACAAGACCCAGGATGTAGCAGAGGGATATCTGCAATGGAAATTAGGGTCTGAGATCAGCCCTGAACAGTTCAGGAAAAAGTTATAATTTACTGTGAGATACCACTGCAAATATTGCTGGCTAGAGCAAGAGAGTCGAGCATCCTCTCTGGTTTTATTCTGCAGTCCAAGAGTTTATTTACTGTACATGGCAAAACAGAGCCCTTCCTCCCTCCCCATTTTGTGTCGAACAAACAATTCTATGTCTCTCCTGCCACTGCAGTATTAGGAAAAACTGGGTCATGCATATAATTCTGCAGGGGGAAACAAAAGGCCATTCTGCCCCTGTTGGATCTCATATTTATGGATGCTGTGGCACATTATGGTAACTTTCACTTGAATCCAGCATATAATTAACAGCTAATAATTTGGCGGTGGCCTTTTTACATGCAGATTTCGGGAGAGATTCATGTGGACAAGACAGTGAAATATGACTTACTCTGCTTGCAGACTTTCCTAGGCACCAGACTCCGATCTCCGTTTCTCTTCTGGCTTTTCATGCACTCTCTCATTTTGGAGGGTGTTGTTGGTAACTAATTCTTTCCGCTGTTTGTATTCTGCTCCATTTAAAAAAAATTATGCATGCAAAACTGGATGGCCAATGAATTTATTCGAAGTATAATGTTGACATCTGTTCTGTACCCACAAAGGGACAATTTCAGGAAGGTGGTAAATTGTGGAGACATGGGAATATGCTCGCATATACTTGCTTGTAGGTTGTACATGTCGATTTTGTAGATGCTTATGTACAAAGTTGAGAAACTCAGCTCTGGCTTGGTGAACCGGCTGAAATAATCCGGAGTGAAAACTGGTGTAAAGCTATTGATTTCTGGCACATTTAAATGTTTCTTTGTGCTCCTCTGTGCGTTTAGCTAAGTATTATCTTTTATCTATGCACTCAGTGACTCACTGCCATAAAAGCACTCATCTCAAACCATAGAGATGAAAATAAAAGCAAAGAAAAACCCTAGAAAATGTTTCCATGGCTGTGACTGAGAACAGAAATGTTGCTGCTCTGCTAAGGAACAGATGTGACACAACTGTTCCCCTCCGAGCAAGGCTGAAGCAAAGAAGGTGATGAAGCAAAAGCTGCCATTATCACCCTGGGATTATCGGGCAGAATCCCGTGGGGTGAGACGAGGTCTCCGACCACAAACCTTGTCTTCCAAGCGTGTCCATTCCTGCGCGCTACTGCGTTTCTCTGGCATATGTTCTAGGAAAGCAATGCTGTGGACCCCTCTCTAACTTCCCCAGGTGCACACACAGCTCCGCATCATTACACATCATCTAAACACTAAATATCTGCTGCACCTTTTAGTTTGTGCCCTTGTTTTTCAAATAACAGCCAGCTGAGGCTGTGGGTCTGCACTTCCCCATTACAGCATCTCCTGATCCTGCAGTGCCTATGTACAGGTACGCTTTCATCCTCAAAACTGCCTTATCAAAGAAGGTCCTATGGTGTATTATTTCTCCTCAAAGTCACTCCAGATAAATTGTGTGACTCGAGGCACTGGCAGGGCTTCTGGAGTAAGTAGAAGCACCAGCATCAGAGCTGATATTGCCGTACAGCATCCCATTCAGAGGGATTTTAAGCAGCCCAAGCCCTGGCACACACCCCTGTGGCTTCGGGTGCAGGGTAGGTTTGCTCCTCCTAACCTGGAAAGCAAAGCAGCATGGCAGCGCTGAGGAACGGCCGGTCCCTGCACACCCTGCCCCAGAGGGGAGAATCATAGAACAGTTTGGGTTGGAAGGGACCTTTAGAGGTCATCTAGCCCAACCCCCCAGCAGTGAGCAGGGACATCTTCAACCAGACCAGGTTGCTCAGAGCCCTGTCCAACCTGGCCTGGAATGTTTGCAGGGATGGGGCATCTCCCACCTCTCTGGTCAACCCGTGCCATTGTTTCACCACCCTCATGATAAAAAATTTCTTTTTTCTATCCAGTCTAAATCTATCCTCTTTCAGTTAAAAACTATTACCCCTTGTCCTTTCACAACATGCCCTGTGAAAAAGTTTGCCTCATCTTTCTTACAATCACCTTTAATTACCCAAAGGCTGCAGTAAGGTCTCCCCAGAGCCTTCTCTCCTCCAGGCTGAGCAGCCCCAGCTCTCCCAGCCTTTCCTCCCAGCAGAGGGGTTCCCCCATCTGAGGGCTCCAGAGCTGGACACAGGACTCCTGGGGGGTCTCACCAAAGTGGAGCAGAAGGGCAGAATCCCCTCCCTTGACAGTTTGGGTCTGCTGCCGATGATTAAAAATACCTTATAACAGGGTCATGCTGGCACTGAAATAAGCATTTTGCCACTCTAACTCATGGGCTTTTTGTGCTTAGGCAAATGACTTGACATGCCCTGTTCCCAGCCCACGCTCTGCCCGGTTCCTTCCTTGCTGGTTTTGCTCCTACTGTAGCTGTTCTGCTTCAGATGCAAAGAAAGAAAAATGCGAGTAGGGAAGAGGGAGGGTGAGGCATAGACACATCTCATTTTATGGGCCTTTCACTGCATTTCATCCGCCTTTCATTTAATACACTGGTGACATTTGCATGTGCCCTGAAATGCCACCTAGGCAAGAAAACACATTAAGAAACAGCTCGACGTAAAGAGCGAGGCGTCCTTCCACGGGGCTGACTGGGAACGCGCGAGGCAGGCTGCAGGCACCGGCATCGCTCTCCGCCGAGCAGCCCCGGGAGCCGCCGGGCTGCGGTGGAGGGACGCACCGGCTCTACGCTGCAGACTGCGGAGCCTCCCGCTCTTCGGTTTATGTCTTACGCGATCTA